AAAGCGGTTGGCTAAAATCCCTTCTCCTACAGCTATGCTTGAAGTAGCAAGTCACCAAATGCCAAAAAGTTTAATATATAACATGACAGTCCTGAAAAAATGTTTTCACAAGCTGGTGTCATGTTGTTTTGCTCTTGCAGATAAGTATTTTTGGAACTTCCCTATCGCTGTGTTTTACAGCCTTTATTTGCTCTATTGTTATTTTTAGTCATCTTTTCTAAGAGTACCCTTTTACCATTTCAGCTTCCTATTTCTTCAGAGTTATAGCTGCTTAATTAACTTAGCCAAAAAACTTACCTCAGAAAGTTTCTCCTAGCAATAAATTAAAACTTTTTTTTCTCTGGCGATTTCATTTTGCTTCTCTTTATTTTTATTAAGTTCTTTGTTTTGTTCAGTAAATGTGGACTTGGAGTTCCACAGTATTGCAAAAATTCAAGTGTTTTGTCATCAGTTCAAGATGACGGCATCTGAGGAGGTCGTCCAGGCTATTATTTGCCTTTATGGCAGGACTAGTACATTTGGAGTCAGGGAAGAAAAAGCTTTAATTTTAAATTTATAATCATTAAAAAAAATCTGTAGAGCTTTCAATCCTTCATACTTTTGGTGGCTTTGACTAAACTACAGGACCTAACCCTTTAATGTCTCCTTGGTCCTTTGCGGTTTCTCTGGGAAGGAAGCGCAGGCGTGCTGCCCTGAGCGGCACTGAAGCACGCTCCGGTGGCATCTCTGATCCAGGTACTTGCAAGGAGTAGTGCAAGCGTGGTGCTGAGCACGCCTGCCTGTAGCCATTGAAATTGGTGAGAATTATGTCACTGATGTAAGGAAATCTGCATAGGTCCTTTATTCTTTGCAGTTTTGAAAGCAATCTATACACCTGCTAAAAATACCTCATTTCCCTCTATTCAGAGGTGGATATACTCTGGTTGCCATACGATGGTTTCATGGCTGATAATTTAATGATTAGGTGCCATGGCTGCTTCATGCTCAGGCATGAATACTTACTTTTAAATTAAAATTACAATTTTTCTATGTGTTTTTTATCTGTTTCCTGAGACTACCCCTAAAAAGCAAGGCTAGGAGCTGCCTGGTGACATTGTTGGTAAGGGAGAGGCACTTCTGTGAGTGGGATTTACATCAAATCAGTTGTACTCCAGTGATGTGATGGTGAAATCCCACCAGCCCCGGATGCTAAAGAAATTTGTCTAGGCAGTGATAATAATAGCTTTATTTCCTGATTCTATAGCGTACTGCAATTTTTTTCCCCTCAAAGTATGTGGCAGAAATGACCTCTGTAGTTGCATAATGAAACCAAAGGACCCCTTGTCATTGCTGTCTTTGAAAGTGAAGTAATCTCCATCAACCCTGTCCCATACCCCCACTCCGCCTTCTCCATAGCTTGCTAAGGAAAGAAAACAGTCTGGTTGTGATAGAAGATTGATTCTTGTGCAACTGTTAAGATCTAGCAAAATGTGGTTTCCTAACCTTTGTCGGCTAAGCTTGTGGCCTTTCCTAAAAAGGCTGTTGGCTGACAAATTTACAGCGATCTGGTCTGTGTATAGAATTTGAATTCGGAAACTAATGGCTAAACCGTAAGGGGAAAATCTGCTCTGTTTATTGGAGAATTTACAAGTACCACCTTCCTACATATTATTTTTCCTCCTTTCTCTTTTCTTCCATTAAGTGATTCCCTATATTTATCTAATTATATGAATTACCTGCAAGAGGTGTTACTTAAACATGTCCCAGTTTTCTTACTATGACAGCAGACATCAGAGGTTTGGTTTTTTTGTTTAAAATATTTGGTAATCATCGTTTTCTTTCCCCATTTGCCAATGATGTCTAAAAGCTAAAAAGGGTGTATAATGCACTGAAAGGACTTAACATGGGGAAAAGTGGCATCATTAATTATTTTGATATTTATTGGTTACAGCAGCAGTCGGACGCAAGACATGCAGTTTTGTTGGTGTATCTTCTGTGTTTGTCCTCTGCATCACAACAGCCTTTTTTTCCTAAAAATGCTCCATTTTGGCAAAAGCTGGAAAATTGATTTTAAGTAGTTTCACAGTGCTTTCAGATGATTATTATTTCCAGAGCTGTGCTGTAGCATTCTGAGATATTTTTAAGTACTCCATGTAATTATTAAAACAAGCACCTGTCTCATAAACTCTGTTGTCCAAAACAATTACCAAGTAATTTCTGATCCCAAAGGATTTTTAATTTAAAATGCTGTGTGCACGATACAGAGTAGTAAAATGCTAGTTTTACAATGTGGTGCTCTTTGTTCTAGGAATGTTTACAAGGATTACCGTTTCCTTGAGCTAGCCTGTGACTCCCAAGAGGAGGTGGATAGCTGGAAGGCATCTCTGCTACGAGCCGGTGTCTATCCTGATAAATCCTCAGTAAGTTAAACAGCTCAATAGTTTTCCAGTAGCTGCTATGTTTGTGTCAGAAAAAAACATTTATATTGTCTGGGAAAACACAATGTCTGCAAATATCTCTAGAACCGGTAGCCTTTTCATTGTACTGTTCTGTGGTAATTTTGAAATATTCATAATGAAATATTTTAAGATCAATTTGTGTGTCAAACCTCAATATTAAAAAAAAAAAAACAAAACCACAAACCAAACCTTCCAAAATGTTATTCATTGGATCTGTGTAGTAAAAGCACTGGGCAATTTGGGGTTTCCTGAGCTTCGTTATTTCTATTAATGTCTTCTACAGTAAAGATGTGCTTTGAAGAGTTTATTCCCTCAAGCTCTGTATTACAGAACTGACAGAAGCATTCCACACAATCACGTATATTTATTTTCCTGATTCACTGCATGGTTTTTGTGTATGAAACACATGCTAAACCTTTCCAAAGGCAGTTTTACTCAGCTAATAGTCATGTGGAGCAAATTGAACAGGATACAGTAAAAAAGCCTCTATTAATTTAACAGAAAAGATAGAAAGTCAGGAAATGGAATATGACCAACTACCATTTCATATTTTTTGGGCTTAGTTATTTTGATATGTAATATCAAGTGAAGGTTTTGAGGAGATATATCCAGAGAGAAGGCTGACTAGCAAAAATACCTGTCATTTGAGCTTTTGAAAGTTTCTCTAACGCATGGTTCACCTTTATTCAGTAAGTCTGCTGGTCCACTACATTCCTTCAGTGGAAGATCTGTTCTGAGAAATGATGCTTTGATTTTGATGGAATTTGTTGTTCTTCCTGCTTGTTTTCCATGGGAAGGTCAGGTCCCTTGAGTCCAGGGTCTTGTGCTGTCTTCTCTCTCTTCATCTTTCTCTTCCTCATATTTCCCCTACTCTTGTGATACCTGCACGGCTTCCAGTATAATTCTGTCAGCATCTCCTCCAGCTGCTATTTATGCAAACAACCCTCAGCTTCCTCTCTTCATACCAAGTTTCAAGGCTACTGTCAAAAGATAAATCCTTGAACTGCTGGATTCTCCAATTATTATAGGAATGAACAGTGATGATGAAAATGATGATGATTTTTTAAGAATAGTTCAAATGAAGATTTAGCAGGAGACCTACCAGGTATCTGAGAATTTACCTTTTTTTTAAAAAAAAATTTTTCAGTGACTTTTCAGTATGTTGCCTGGCCCTAGATCAGTTCTTGCCCAAGACCATCAGATGTCATTTTACAAAGATTAATTACAAGAGGTTACATAATTAATTACAAGGAACAAAATATTGTGGTGGGTTTTTTTTTCTTGCTCAGGTTTTAATAATGATGTCAAAAAAGCCTGTTACTGCTTCTGGTTTAATCTTGTATTCTGTGACATGTTTATCATATTCATATATGTTACTTTATCTTTAAACAATTCAGACTGGTTCGTTACAAAAACTTCTCTTCTGTCTTCCTGTCTCTCCTTTCCCCCTAAAAATGTTTTGTATTCAAAATATATTTATAAAGAATTCTTGTTTTTGTTTAAAGTTGGTCTGTCAAAGGAATCTTAGATACAAGATGAGACACTTCCTTGAAAGGCAAAAGTAGAAGGGAGTCAAAATTCAGTTCTCCTTTGAGCTGGAATTATCTTTACGTTACAAACAGAGTGAATATTATTGTTCCAAACCCCTGTAGCTTGAAATTCACCCACTAGTCTATCAAGCTGTTCAGGAAAGATGCTTGATGCTACTGTAGTCTTGCAAAGCACTTTGTTCCTGCAGGACTAGAGGTCCAAATGTGGACCACAAGTCTGCTGTTAAAGTTGTGAATTCTGCAAAGCAAAAGCTCCAAGGCCCAGGGTACCTTAGAAGCTCCGGTGGAACTTAAATAAAAATCCGCAGCAGTTCATTGAAATCCTGTGCATACTCCTCAGTTTCACACCTTCCTCTGACAATATAAAATAGTTTTAGAGACACCGCCCCCCACCCCCAGTCTTTTATTCTTCTTTGAAGATTTGGAGACCATGTTTTTATGTAAGGGAGACTGCCAGGAAATGGCAGCATCTTGCATTTACTTCAGTGCTTCCCCACAGCTTTGCAATCTCAGAGTTAAAAAGGCAAAGAGGTACCCTAGCCCCTTCCCAGACTGACCACCTCGCTCTTTTTCATGTGCGACTCACAGCTGGTAACTTTGAGTATCCAAGGCTTTGGCACCAGAAGTAGAAAAGTTGCTGCTTAGAAATGAAAAATAGATTAATAGTGCTGTAAACCTAGAGTATTGCAGTGGTGAAGCTGGCCTGCTTTCTGTAACTGCCAGAGTAGTGTGCGCAGACTGGAATTTGAAAGCTAAGCTGTGTGCTTTCATTAACAGTTTTGCTGCTTGCGTACAAGGGCGCTGATGTAAAACCCAGCACGGTTGCCCCTAGCTTGGTTCCTTCTGCAGTGGCAGGAAAGGTAGGAATTTGTCAGTGAATTAGAGAGATTTGTTCTGAATTCTCACCAGGGGCAAATCTCTCAACTAAGAATGTTAATTTTCTGGATTTTTTTTTTTTTAGTAGTGCTACTTAAAATCGTGTGATTACAGTGGTAATGGGGCTCAGTACTTACTGCTGCTAATACGAAGTCCCTATTACTAATTTAATCCTGTAAGTGAAGTCCAAGGTTGTTGATTTTTAATTTCTCTTTTTGCTTAAATAAATCTCATTAATCTATTAAGTAGAGCCAGATATCACCCCATTCTTCCATTTCCTCACTTCATTGTGCCTGCCTTCCCTGGCGCTCTGCATATGGGGATGCACATTCGCGTTCATATATTCACTCTCTTGTTAACTATCTTTAGTCACCCTTCAGTGTTGCTCTGTGAGCCCCCGAATTCTTTTGCAGTTTGCCAAGTCACCTCCTTCCCCCAGGAGATTTGCTTTTGTCAGGACGTGGGCTTTGACAGCCACCCGGATAGCAATGAAACAGTGTTTTTATTTTTCCAACCCATATGCAAGTCAGCTTGCTTGATATAAATCACAATGTGGCCAATTCACTTTGACACGGGATATCCATTTACCAGCTGACTTTACTGCTGGGTTTCTAGACTGATGCATCCAAAACTCTCCTTTTTGAAAAAATGACTACAACTTTTGTGACTAACCTTTCCAGACTGTATTTCTCAACTGTAGGCTGGTGTTTATTTTGGTTGACTTCCCACTGTATAATATACACTGTTCATGCCAGCTCATGGCAAAACTCACAATTAAAAAAAATAATAGCACAGATGTTTGTCATAATTTGCTCTGCACACTTTACCTTGCTAGCACCGTCCGTTCCTTTTCCCCTCTCCCCTCGTGCCATCTCCTCCTTATTTTTATGACTAATCTAAAAGTTGAATATTTGCTTTTTAAAAACCATTGGATCGTGAAACTTTCCATTCATTAGCATGTCGTAGGGAGGGGCTGTCATGCAAGGGTAAGCAGACATGTTCAGTGGGTTGCTTTGCATACTGGAAGTTCAGTATTATCAACACACGAAAATCCCTCTGGCTTCTGTCCCATCCCTGGATCATTTCAGGCCTCATTTTCTTCTCCCTTGTGTTAGTGTCCACCGACTTCCCAGGAGCTGCTCCTGATTTACAATGAAGGAAGCAAAAGTGGAATCAAAATGTTTGTGTAGAGAGGAAATTTTGAAAAAAGAGCGTGAATTTACAACTTTGCCGAATACTTTAAATCCTTTGCAAATGTCCTATCCTCCCCAGAAGCTGTCTAACTAAAAATTCAGTGAATGTTCTTTGAGTCAGTTCCTCATTTGGTTTGAGCTGTTTCCAGAACTGTACAACTTAGACTGAATGCATGTAAAATAAATGTATCTAATATTTCTTTTTTTTCCCTCTTTCCTCCTTGCTGCATCGTGCAAAGGGGAACAACAGAGTAAGTTGTTTGTCCTTTTACAAAATCCTTTTGTGTCCTGTCTCGAGGTTTTTATCAGGAAAATTGATTTCCCTTTTGGTCCACACAACTATTGCCCGCATACTCTTAACAGCAAACTTTAAAAGTGTGGGTGCAAAAGTGTCTTCTAGAAAACTTTTGATGGCTCTTTGTTTTAATTTTGGGGAAGGAGATATGTTAAGTGTTGCTAAGTGGTGTTTTTTAAGGCGGTTCAGTAAGAATGATATTATAAAACAGTATTGGGACCAAAGATTATGAAGGTAGAGTAATAAAGACCTTCTGAGGAAAGGTTACTACAGTCTGATGAAACTCATTACAGCTGGATTTTTTGACCATACATCAAAGCTTGTATTAATGGGCAGTTATAAAAACCCAGCACTAAAGTCTTAAATAACAGATTTGCTGGCGTTGTTGGCTAAGCTGAACTAGATCACTGTACTGGCTTTGAAGGTGCCTTAAAATGGATGGAGGAGGGTGGGGTCAACATTTGACTTGGCTTCTAGACCCTTGATGTGTTCCAGCTGGACAGCAGCAGAAGGGTGTGGGGTGTGGAGAGGGAGAACTGAAATATGCATGGTAGGGTTTTTTTGAAAGTAAGCAGCACATAAAAAGACAGTTTTGCTGATGTTGATCTGATAAACTAAAAATCAAGCAGTTCCCAGGGTTAGTACTTTTTAATGCCATTTTTACTGAGCTTAAGAATGGAAATTGTACATCTCACACTTTGGAATATGATGCAGAGATAGTTTGTCATACCATGGAAAGAAGTTATACAGCTTTTGTGCTTTTCTTTCCCCCTTCCTGTTTTGGTATATTAACCCTTAGGAAGATATAACTGGAGCATCAGAAGATGCCTCCTAGCAAATATTGAAAGTAGCCACTGAAATATTGCCTGAAGCATCTCATTGTGAGCTTGAAGCATTTCTGGGTATTTGGGAAAGACCCAGGTGGGTTTTAGATGTTCTGAAGGTTGGGGGATTTTGTATGCTTTTATTTTTTGTACTTTTAACCAGTTTTTGACCACTTCTGTCTCCACAGTAACTGGGCTCAGAAGCACCAAAAATCTTCCGGTT